CTTATTTTTATGTGGGTACGAGACAATATAAAGTGAAACGAATGCTAGATTAGTTAAAACGTCATCGAACCGTTTGTAACGACAACATGTCGTTTTGGGTCACGAATTTTCAATTTCGCTCAAAATATTGTTAAAACTTGTTTTCATTAATTTTTATGTGGATACGAGGAAACATAAATTGATACAAACATATAATTAGTTAAAACGGCATTCAGTCGTTTAAAACGGCAGTATGTCATTTTACTGTTGGTTTTAAATTGTGTATGAAAGTAGAACAAGTTCACTGTGATGTAATATGGGTAATTTAGGTAATCTATTAATTTTGAATTAAAATATTTATTTTAAATAATTAATTGTGGTCAAAGGCTAAAATCCCAAACTGTATTATGAAATAGACCATTTGCCCCAATTACCACTTGTTGCAATAGCTGGACGGATTTTTCTATTCCCGTGATTTTCTGTCCATTGTGCACTGGAACCTTTTTTTCTTTTTTAACTAATTTTTTTCGTTTACCGACATTTAATCCATCAAGTCAATCATAGAAGGTGTTCGGTAAAGATTAAAATTAAATTTTTAATAGATGGTGATATAAATTTTTTAAATGTGTGGTTGAAAGATGTGAGATTCATAAAAGATGTGGTTAATAATAATTGTTTAACTTTGATTTAGATTAAAATCGGATTTTAATCCGATCCAAACAAACATATATTCTACTGTATTAAAGACACGAGTAGTTTGCCTAAGCTTTAGAACTTTCCTTTCCTAGTTAAAAATAAAAATAAAAAATCGTCGTTATAAATTAAGTGGGTGTTTGGTAGGAGTTAAAATTGGATTTTTAGTGGATTGTGATAGAAGTTTTTGAAATAAGTGGTTGAAATGCGTGGGACTCATGAAAGATGTGATTAATATTGATTGTTTAACTTTGATTTAGATTAAAATCTTATTTTAGGTTGTGTTTGAATCACATTATTTTGGAAAAATATATTTTGGAATAGTAGATTGATGGGGAATGTGTGGTTGAAAAAGAAGGAAATGTTATTGATGCGATGGAAAATATTATTTTATTGAAAAATGTGTAGTTGAAAACGAGTAGAAAAATGAGAATGAAAATTTTAATGTGTACCAAACAGGAGCTTAATCCGAAACAAACAGGGGTTTAGGAATAAAGAAGCACTTATTTGATGATTAGGTAATTAATTTTAACAAAGTAACTTCTTTTGAGCTTATTTGGGAGGGGCTTTAATCCAATTAAAACTTAAAATATAGTCGTTATTGAGTCTCACTCGTCTAATAAAAGTCAACAATAACGACTAATTTTTCAATTTTAATCCGATTTTAATCCCTCACAAACAAGTTTTATCAAATGTCATAAAAGAAAAATGCCCGAACATTATTACGAGCAAAGATGTACTTAAAGTGAGAATACAAACCTTTTGTGTGTATATCTCCAAATAATTTGGAGATAAATACCAATCATAAGATTTGAGGCGACCCAGAAAACATTGCAACGGGTAGTTTCAATTTCGGAAAAGATTCAAGTTTAGAAATTGGATTTCTCCAAATATTTTGAAGATAAATACCAATCGTAAGGTTTGAGACGACCCAGAAAGCACTACAACGGGTTCAGCTAAAAAATTGGATTAAAATTTAAAAATTAATTTTTTCCATACATTTTATGGGATTCACAACTTTTCAATCTAACATTCCATTAACTTTATGAAAACCAACTAAAAATTTATTTTTAATCTAAATCAGGGACAATATTATATATAGAGGGTGTTTTGTAGGAATTGAAATTAGATTTTTAGTGGATTGTGATAGAAGTTTTTGAAATGTATGGTTGAAAAATTATTGGACTAATGAAATATGTGATTAATATTGATTATTTGATTTTGATTTAGATTAAAATCATATTTTAATTCAAAACAAACAGGCTCATAGTCTCTATTAAGTAAATATGGTACTTATTATTGAATTGAGACATGTTAGCATAAAGTTTGACGGTGTCAAACAAAAAAACAACAATGTATTAATTTATTCACGGCAAAATATTCGTCATCACGTATAAACTTGTTCAAAATCTTCTTGCTAGAACAAGGACATCTATTAACTTTGTCACTTTAAATGAGAAGGTTGAGGTTAAGCACCAACGCCAAAGGTGGAAAAAATGGCATTTGTCCAACTTAATTGACCAACTCCGAACATCATGGAGTAAACAAACAACTTAGGAAAACATGTAACTATTTTGACCTTAAGATTAATTCATAAATTGAAAATACAAATAAACAATTATTATTAATCCAAAAATAGTAAATACTCTTTAATTAAATAATTTCCTTGTTTTTAGGAGAGGTGTAAGGATGGAAGACGGCTAATGGTTTGTTTGTGGATACTATTACAATGCACCTCCTTTCCTTCTTCTCTTCTTCCTTTGAGAATCATCCCTGCCCTTCTCCTGAAGGTATAGGCTCTCTCTCGCTCTCTAGATTATGTTTCCTTCTTTCTATTTTTTTTGTTTGTTTTGACAAAAAATTAAATAAAAGTATTGTACATTTGCTTAATTTCAAGGATCATTGAACGATAATTGTTTAAATGAAACGACACAACGATCCACGAATGGGTTCTTTGATTAAAATTGTCTCAGTTGGGTTAATTGTTCTTCGAATTTTATTTTGTCTGTCGTTAGAGATAATACTTCTTAATAATATATTGATATCTTACATTCAAAAAATAATTATTATGATATAGTATTGCATTTGATTGATTTTGATGGGCATTAATCAATTTCTTTATGTTTTGGTAAATGCTGATGAAAAGGTTAATGAATCTTTAACAGGGCCATTTTGGGAGAGCGGCAGGGTGTGTCGAGTGTGTTCTGATAAAGATCGTGCTCAAGACCGATTGTGAAAATGTCCTCACCTCAAGAATCTCCAACTTCGTCACCACCGCCACCATCATCAACTCCACCACCATCATCTTCATCACCACCACCTCCATCTTCATCTCCGCCACCTCCATCAAAAGACAGTTCACCGCCTCCACCCCCTGACAATAGTTCTCCGGCTCCTTCTAACAATGACGACAACAATAATAATAACAAAAAATCTCCACCCCCACCAAAATCTAGCTCGTCAGATGACCACGATGGAGATTCATCATCTTCCCCTCCTCCTCCACCACCGCCTCCACCACCTCCTCCACCACCACCGGGCACTCCAGGACTTCCTTCTTCAAGACATAAGTCATCACATTCATCAAAATCACCATCAAATGATAACTCGTCCATTAATGAGAAAGCCATCATAGGTGGAGTAGTTGGAGGAGCGGCATTATTGCTGTTCGTTATGATTGTCTTCTTGGTGTCTTGTTGTAGAGGGAAGAAACGAAAGCCCCATAATCACATGCACTACTATAGAGATGAATCTCATGGAAATAGAAGTACGTGATCCATTCACATCTATTTTGGAACTCGAATGCTCACAGAAATTTTAGACCTAAATTTCTCGTTTAAATTTTATTAACAAGCATTTATGTAAGCAGGTAGTGACTACTATAATAGCGGACCTGGACAAAATTGGCACAACAATGGTCAATCAACAGATCATGTGGTGAAAATGCCTCCTCCTCCTCCCGGTAGTGCAGGAGTGAGTTCAGAAATGGGCTGGCCGGTGGCGCCACCACCTCCACCACCAATGATGAGCAGTAGCGAGTTGAGCTCGGCCGGTTTCTCAGGTCCACACCATGCTGCCTTGCCGCCGCCTCACCCTTCTGTTGCCCTCGGCTTCAACCAAAGCAGCTTCACTTACAATGACTTAGCAGCGGCGACAGGCAATTTTGCGCAATCTAATTTGTTGGGACAAGGTGGGTTCGGTTACGTGCATAAAGGGGTGTTGCCAAATGGGAAAGAAGTTGCGGTAAAGAGCTTGAAAGCTAACAGCGGGCAAGGAGAAAGGGAGTTTCAAGCGGAGGTCGACATTATTAGTCGTGTCCATCATAGGCACCTTGTGTCTCTTGTTGGTTATTGCATTGCGGGATCTCAAAGAATGTTGGTTTATGAATTTGTTGACAGTGGTACTCTTGAATTTCACCTACATGGTACGTAATTTACATTAAAAAAAACTGTCTTTTCATATTTTGTGTACATAACAAGTCGGTTCAACTATGAAATCCGAGAACATTACGCTTGAAATATGCTACAAAAATTTGACATACGCAGGAGCTAATCGCCCAGTTATGGACTGGCCTACTAGGCTTAAAATTGCATTGGGATCGGCCAAAGGATTTGCTTACCTTCATGAAGATTGTGAGTTATTCACCTCTCCAAGTTTTTTCCCTTTTTTTATTCAAATTTTTGTGCTTCAATTTTGTCCTTATGTTGGACATTGCTTTACAGGTCATCCTCGCATTATCCACAGAGACATCAAAGCTGCAAACATTTTGCTCGATAGTAATGGTGAAGCAAAGGTATTTAATAATATGTTTGAAATTAAATTTGTGTTTATTTAAGTTTTAATGCATTTCAACGAGCAGGTGGCTGATTTTGGATTGGCTAAACTTTCTAATGACAACTACACTCACGTTTCAACTCGCATCATGGGAACTTTTGGGTAAGAAATTTCAGAATCAAAGTATATTAATTTGGTCACCATTTGGAACTCTAGGAAAATAATCTACATTTTACTTTTATATCATCTATAGTAAGATTACGGTTGCCAATTCGTGATAATACTTATATGTTTGTGATCGTATACGGAATTAATATGCAGGTACTTGGCGCCTGAATATGCCTCAAGTGGGAAACTCACTGAAAAATCTGATGTGTACTCGTACGGAATTATGTTATTAGAGCTCATAACTGGACGCCGTCCAGTTGATATTCATAGAGATGATGATGACAGCTTAGTCGATTGGGTACCTAGATTCAATTTATGAGAAATAAAGTTTAATTTCTTTGTTGATTTGTTTTTACACATTGCTCATGTCCTTTTTGTGGGGATTGTACAAATAGGCGAGGCCTATTCTATTGCAAGTAACGGAGGGAGAAGGTTACGAAGAGTTGGTGGATCCACGCTTGGAGAACAATTACGATCCTCAGGAGATGTTGCGAATGGTGCATTGTGCAGGTGCTTGTATCAGGCATTCTGCAAGGAGACGCCCCAAAATGAGTCAGGTAAAGAACTCTCGTCATATGATTAATACACTTTTGGAATGTTTTGGTAGAGTGAGAACTTAAAATCGTGGCTTCTAAATTGGGAAATCTACAGATTGTGCGTGCTTTGGAAGGTGATGTCTCTCTTGAAGACCTAAATGAAGGGGTAAAGGCAGGAAGTAGAGGACTGTATGGCTCGAGTGGCAGTTCTGGCTACGAAAGTGGCTCATATTCAGATTTGAAAAAAATTGGAAAGACGGGTTTGTCTAGTCAGGAGTTCAATAGCAGTGAGCACGGGTTGACTGGTGAGTATGTCCGTTCCAGTGCAGGAAATTCACGAGAATTTCAATCAAAGGGAGGCAGCCACATCCACGGCCCTTAAACAAACCTCCTTCGCTCAAAGCTTATAAAGATTGCACCTATTAATTAACTTGTAAGAGTTCCAAGGGTTCATTATGCGACCGGGTAATCAACACCTATGAATCCTGTTAGGTTGATACTTGAGTTTACAATTCATAGTTTTTACATGTTAACAACATTTTATTTGGAGTTTATACAATATATTGGAGTTCGAGTCAAACTTACATATAAACATGTACGATTAATTCATATTTGTAACAAAAATAACGATGTATGTGGAGTATATATTTGTTAATTGTGTGTGTTACGTGTTTTCTATAACGCAATATGATGCAAGTGTATGATGTCAAGTTTTATAAATTAAATGTGGCGTTAGGATGTCGAACTTACATGAATTGAATATCAAATTAATACTAAGTACTATAATTATGTAGCATTTATTTTATCTACACAATTGAAATTTGTAATCAATGGTTGTAATTAAATCTAATGATGAATGTGATGACGAATTCAACGATTTTATGCAAGTTTGAAGAATTAATCAATATAAAAAAGTATAGGGTTATGATTTCATCGAACTTTCAACTGTGTTTATCAATTATAAAGTTTTCTACAATTAATTTTCCTGAGTTTATAAGCAATAGCCATAATATAATTATACCCTCTCTCTCGAGTGCCGAGTAAAAATTAGTCCTCGAATTCAATTCTAATATCTCTATTCCTAATTAAAATCCAAGAATTATCAAGCATATGGTTCTTTCGCCTTGTTATTGACTGTTGGGAGCGCTGGAGTGCCATTGGCCTGGCACCACAACGCCAACCCTCTACCCATTTTTTTTCCTTTGTTTCGTATTGCAACTTCATTCGTTCTTGGTTTCTTTCATCATTTCTTTTACATGGACTCTGAATCCCTATTTCACCAACTTTTGCACGACTTTCACCACTTTATCTCACCTATAAAACAACATTGAAACGTTCTAAAACTCAAAGACAACAAAATAACAAGTTTAAATGGCATTAAATCTATGAGTGAAATACACTCATCAGTGTGCTATATGTAGGTTTTTTAATACAATTGTTATGTATTGCCTTGATGTGCATTTTGAGATTTAGATAGGTGTTTGAATAATTGTTTTGAACAAAAATCAAAATTATAACTTTCCGATCTAGAACAATTTTTATGGTTACGTCGTATTGTCACTCATAGGAGAGGAAAAACATGTGTCTATTATATTTTTAT